TGAGTGGTAGACTGTGCATCGACCTGCGGGGTGGTGAAGAGCAGAGTGGAGGAGGTCCGTGGTCCGAAGGAGCGGCTGATGCAAAAAAGGGAATGTAATCTAAGCAGCTGGAGAGAAGAGACACAAAACACTAAATACAGATTCAAAAGAACGACGGGGAACAAACGGGCCTGAGAAAAGCTAGAAAGAACTGGCAAGGGAGTGAACGAAGAGCAGGGACTAAATAGGGAGAAACTAATCAGGTGCAGCTGGTGACAAGCAGGTGTAGAGGATAGCGTAATCAGGGTAAGGGAGAGAAAACAGAGTGAGGGGAGTGAGAAAGGAGGTGCAACCGGGCAAACCTGACAATTCCTTTTACTGGAAGGAGTGGGCGGACCAAGGAATTTGGTCAATTCGACATCTAATAGACGACAGAGGCAATACTCTAGACCTAATAGCATTCAACAACAAGTATAATTTAAACTGTACTCAGGATAAATATAATAAGGAGATAAAAGCTGTACCACGAGCTATTCTCATAAATATTAAAGGTTCACTATATTATCAAAGGATGATACCTCGCTTACACCCTTTATTAGTACAAGACTGTACGTTTCTATCTGACAAAAGCAGTAAAAACCTATTTTTAAGATCCACACTTACTAAAGTATGTTTTCCTTCATCTCTGAAAAGAAGGTATTTGCTAGAAAGATATCTGAATGCTTCCTCTGATGCAAAGAAAATAAGATGTAATTTCTTGAAGTTCCCAATTTCACCTAAAGCTAAAGAGGTGCATTTTAAAACAATGAATGAAATCTATCCATGTAAAGAATTGTTGTACCTTAAATTTGGGCTTGACACAAATGTATGTACATTTTGTGAAAATGACATGGAATCACAGGAACATCTTTTCTTCAGCTGTAGTGTGTCTTCTTCATTTTGGAAAGCATTTTGTCAGTGGTGTTTAAAGGATAATCCGTCTCTATCTCAATTAAACTATGAAAATATTCAATTTGGTATAATTTTAAAGGACTCAAGAATGGATTTTATGTTAAACAATTTGATAATTATGGCAAAATATTATATACATAAATGCAAATTTAGGAATTTGACCCTGCATCTCTCAGTTTTTATGAAAGAGCTTTCTATTCTGTGTGATTTATTGACGTATATAAACACTAAACTGTCACAGGAATTATATCAAATGTTAATTAATCTTCTTTCCACAACCCCAGAAAATGTAAATGAATGTGTTGAATAGTTTTTGTTTGTTTGTTTGTTTTTTGTGTCGTTTGGCTTCCCTGTTTGTTTGGCTTTCCTGTTCTACTGGGATAATGTTAGTTAATTTTGAACTTGCTCAGTCTTTGTACTGTTCAATATTTGTATTAGACTTGTATTGTCAGTTCAAATGGTGCATATGATTTGCCTTTCACAGAAATAATACACTTTTTAAAGAGCCAAGTATGCAGTATAAAAAATAGACTTTGTCTTCAGTCTCACCTGGTGTTATCTATCCACCCATCCATCCACTAAGTGGTGGTAATAATGCGCCTCATCTGGTTCGGCCATTCTTCAACAAATCCAACGACCAAGAAGACGACGCAGGCATAGCAGCCCAGCAGGTGGCAGTAATGCACTATAAGTTGGCTTGCAAAACGCCAATAAACATCATAGGAAGAAGAAGAAGAAGAAGAGGGCGGCAAAAGAACGAAGAAGAAGAAGAAGAACAACAAGAAGAAGAACAAGAACAAGAACAAGAAGAAGAACAAGAACAAGAACAAGCAGAAGCAGAAGAAGAACAACAACAACAAGAAGAAGAAGAAGAAGAAGAAGAAGCAGAACAACAAGAACAAGTAGCAGAACAACAACAACAAGAACAACAACAAGAACAAGAACAAGAACAAGCAGAAGCAGAAGCAGAAGCAGACGAAGAAGAAGAAGAAGAACAAGAACAAGAACAAGAAGTCACCGCTGCTGGAGGACTCTCTCACTTGCGTGTTGTTGCTAATGCTAGCTGGCGGAGGGAGTTGATATGAACACAATGAAACCTTTGGAGGTTTTGTAAAGCATCCGTGAATCTTTGATTAGACTCTCGTACTGCATTATCCGCGAGGAAAGGCAAGTATTTTGTGGTCGCGTCGAGTTTAAATGAAACCAGCACTTATCAATGATAGGGGAACGCTCTTTCACCAAAATGCACGGGCGCCGTTAGGGGGGGTAAGTTAGGACGATTCTAAGGGCCCACGAACTTTGGGGGCCCACAGAGACTAGCTTTGGGTGAGGTAGAGGGCCCAACTTCAAATCTTTTCAGAGGGCCTAAAACTGCTAGCGGCACCCCTGCCAAAATGCTCATTTTTAGTACGTTAAAGTGAACAAACATTAAACATAAGTGTGACGACTTGACCTGGTGCATTTAAAGTTAGGCAGATTTTTATGCCAGACAAATATTCGCTGTTCCCACCAAAATAAATGTTACTGTAGAAAACGAGGTTATACCCTGTATGAAACTTCCATTATAGGCAGAAAATGCAGCCATAAAAGGCTTCTAAGAAATCCAAACACAACACCAAGGACTTATAATTGACGAGTTCATTACAAAGGTCTTAGCTGTCAATTTTTGATGATCAATGTTTGTTTATATCAGTAATGTTTTTAAACGATGAGGTGAAACTGGCCTATGTTTTATAGGGTTGCATTGTACTTACATTGACTAACCTGTCATCTGTATTTCAGACTAATAATTTAATGAAGTCCTAAAATTGCGCTAAACTAAACGCATGTTCATTCATTGTTCTGTCGGTGCAAAACACAAAGATGTTTGATTTTCATTTATGTAAAACTGCTAAACCTAACATTTGTGAAGCTAGAAACGGTATCCCCTTTGCATTATTGATTTATAAGTGATCTAGTTATTGTTAAATGTTTATATATGTACACCTTTGTTTACAGTATGAAGCTCAGAGATACAGAGAACATTTTAGTAACTGGGGTGCAATGAAATACTTAATTTTCTGAAACAATGATCTGAATATAGTGATGCACCAAGTAGATAAAAATATTATAGTAAGCAGTGTCATACTTTGTAAGATGTTATATCAAAACATAGTACTTGTACTTAGTCAACTCTGTGTGTGAACACGTTTTTCCTCTTGAGATTGTTATATACCTGTGTGAATATATCCTAAATTCATATTTGAGAAGGTGCTATTTCTTTGCAGTAGGATATGACCCAGCTAGTGTTAATCGTTTTTGTTTTTCTTGCACAGGTATTGGTAGAAAGATTCAACATGGTCACACCAGTGTCTGTGCTGCGCATGCCAAAAGGACCAGACCCCAACAGCCGCGGATTTGACCCCAAATCACCCCGCTTCATTGCGCTTTGTCGCCCCTCCATTCCCACTTCAGCCGTGTCAGATGCAGATGCTGAGCAGCTGCAGAAAGAGCAGCATGCACGGTCTGTGCTAAGAGAGCGTTTCCTCCGATGTGTCCTCTCCATGACCAACAAGAACGTTCGGTTTCACATGCATGAGAGGGTGAAGGTGGAGGCCACATTTGGGGCGTCTGACATTGACGTACTGAACTTTCAGGTGTCAGACTTGCACACTCCTATCGGCGTGCAAAAAGAGGCACTGATCAGGTCTCAGGATGTGATTTCATTCACTTTTGACATATGAAAACTTCAAATTTTTTTCTGTTTAAACAAAATGACATTTGGATACAAGGTGCTTGGGAGCCTTATTTGTTGTTCCGAGTGGGCTGTATTGGCACCCTCTGTGAGATAGTTAATAAAATGGATTATATTATGTGGTTGTGCTTTGCTGCTTTCATTCCTGTCTGGATTGCTCATTAGATTACCTGGCATGTGTGACCGAGCATTCAAAAATCCAGCACTAATCAGCAGTGCCCGTTTTCCAGCACAAGAGGGCGTCCCGTACCTGTGTTTCAAGTGTAACACAAAACCCTCATGTTACATCATGTTCAGGTTTCCCCGGGTTTGAGTGATGTCAGATTTCTGCCACAGGGTTAATCAAAATATTGACAAAGTGTGTAATATTTTCCTGATGACTACTAATCCTTTCAGAAAATGTTTACTTACAGTAACATCTGGGAAGCAGCTGTCCATAGTCAAATGAAGGCTACTAGTCTAATAAGTTCAGGAAGTTGTAGAAGTAATGCAGCCTTTAAAGCCAGGAAGTCAGGCTGTTAAAGTTTCACATGATAGTTAGCCTTGCACCACAGTTGGTCAGTGTGTCTCCAGTGTCTGCTGTACGTCATGAGGCTTTGTCTGTAACTGTCACAGGAGTTTTATCTCTGTGTCAACAGTATCGCCAGTGTACTGTTTCATTAAACAGTAAATGTTAATGAAGCTCTAGCTGTATAATTAGTTTACTGTCCAAGTAATAATATAAATAATAAATCAATGAAGTTAAAAGTTAGAAAGTGTACAATGATTACATCTATAGGTTATTGCATTGTGGTGTTTGCTGTATCTTGTTATACATATAAACATGGATTAACTGTTAATCAGAAAGACGGCCCGGGGGAAGAAACTGTCCCTGTGTCTGGTTGTTTTGGTGTACAGTGACCTGAAGCAGCATCCAATTCAAACAATGTGTGTCCATGGTATGAGAGGTCTTCAGAAATCCTCTCTGCCCTCCTTTTGACCCATGAGGTGTACAGGTCCTCCGTGGAGGGCAGGCTGTTACATATGGCTTCGGTTGCTTAGCCAAATCAGACAGTGATGGAAGAGCAGAAAACAGACTCGATGATACCTCTGTCACTGTCATTTTTGTTGTTTTTAGCATATTCAGCTCCAGGCTGTTGCGACCACACCACAGGGCCAGTTGTTCAACCTCCTGTAGGCTGTAGGCCGACTTATCACCTTTTCAGATGAGACCAGTGACCGTTGTATCATCAGCAAACTTTAGGAGTTTAACAGAGGGGTCCTCTGAGGTGCAGTCGTTTGTATAGAGTGAAAACAGCAGAGAGCACACATCCCTAGGGGGCACCTGTGCTTATTGTCCGGCTGCTGGATGTGGTTTTCCCCATGCGCACCTTCTACTTCCTGTCTGTCAGAAAGCTGGTGATCCACTGACAGGTGGGGGCAGGCGCAGTGAGCTGGGTCATTTTGGAGTGGAAGATGTCTGAGATGATGGTGTTGAACGCCGAGCTGAAGTCCACAAAGAGGACCCGTGCATAGGTCCCTGGGGAGTCGAGGTGTTGCAGGATGTAATGCAGTGCCATGTTGACTGCAACATCTACTGACCTGTTTGCCCGGTAGTCGAACTGCAGGGGGTCAGTGATGTTACTCAGATGGGCCAACACCAGGTTCTCAAAGAACTGTAGTCATTCAGTCCACTGATGGATGGTTTCTTGGGAACTGGGATGGTGGTGGAGCATTTGAAGCAGGAGGGGACTTCACACACCCAGAGATGTGCTGAAGATCTGTGTGAAGATGGGAGCCAGCTGGTCAGCACAGGTTTTCAGACAGGAGGGGGTCACTTATGTAATATTTGATAAATTCACAAATCCAGTGAATGTATAGAGTGCGATATTACCCTGAATCAAAGTAATAGGTGCTCATACATATTGAGGGCTTTGATGGATTAAATGTATATCAGATCAATTTTCCTGAATATACCAGTAATCTAACACAGCCAACACTGAATCCACATCTGATGGCAGCACAGACGTTAGTTATGAAATCTTTCATCATAAATACAGAAGGGTGAGATTCATCATTGTTTAGCGCCAGCCTCATGGGGAAGAGGAGGAGGAGGAGGGAGCATCAATACTATTTAATCTTCTTAAAAGGTGTATTTTGCAAGTTCCCAATAAGTCATTTTGTTTGAGTGCCATTAGACAGTCGTACCGTGGCTGTCTCTTTTTGTACCTGAATTATCTGACCACTCAGTGGAGACAATCATCAGTGAGGCAGTGACTCATCCTCCCCTCACTCTCTCTACTCCTCCTCTCTCGGCCTCTCAAATCCGAAATACGACTTTAAAACTTGCATGACGTCATCGGGCCAGTGTGATTCAATCAGGAAGCCCTCAAGGACAACCAATGTTAATTTCATATACACAGACATGCTGTTCTATGACCAACAGCCCTCATCTCCCTCAGCTTTCAATTTCTCGACTGTCCATAGCGTCTGCAGGAACACATACAGCACAATATGCATTTCCATTTTACGTTACTTAATTTACTTTCTTGGGCAATTGTAATTTTTTTGCACTTATCTGATGGTAGTAGTACATTTGCCAGGAATAACCTGCTGTAGGTGGTTTGGTGACACTTCTCTATAACACCTTCAGTATCTGAGTGTGAAAGCTTAAAGTGTGGGGATAAACAATTAGAAGGATCACTTTCAGTATAAAAGGCCTTGCCCCTTATTTAATCATCTCATTTATAGTTCTCATTTGGTTGATTCTGGTTTAATTTTATTAACTGTGTTTGCTACGTTCAGCAGTTTTACGTTACTTTCTAAAATTCAGGTTCCCACACCTCATGATCGTGTTTCACTCAAGTTTGTACAGTATAAACAATTTCCAATGTGTGCTTACTAACTCCAAAGTCATTTAACTAAGGATGCTTTAGGTTCATTATTCTTGTTGTATAAAGTTAAATAATGTCTTCACCACACATATGAAAATTTTCATTTTCACTGTCAACACACTAACCACTGAAGCAATGTTCTGGTTGTTATAGGACTGACAGATTTTTGGTGATTGAGCTGATCCATGCAGTATATTTATTGTCAGTGCAGTGGTTAGCGCGGTCGCCTCACAGCAAAAAAGGCTCCAGTTTCACTCCCCAGCTGCCCCGCTTTCTTTCTGTGTGGAGTTTGCATATTCTCCCTGTTCCTGCATGGCTTCTCTCTGGGTTTGTTTACATGTCAGCCCTTTGACAGACTGGCGGCCTATCCGGGATGTACCCCACCTTTCTCCCATTGTCAGCTGGGATTGGCTCCAACGACCCTCATTAGGATAAACGGTATAAATAATGGATAGACGGATAGAACACTCTAGTTACTGCTTTTGTTTCACAAAGCTCAAATTACTCCCACTTTAAAATTATATTAATTTAACATAATCATGAAGGCAAAAAAGACAAAAAAATCTGCACAGTGCAATAAGCTCCCAATGGTTTTAATGAAGCAGGAGCAACATTTCAATCTAAAGAAGATGTTCATCAGGCATCGTCAAACCACAATGACGATGTCTGATGAACATCTTTTTTAGATTGAAGCGTTGCTGCTACTTCATTAAAACTATTGAGAGCTTATTGCAGTGAAGGAAATTTTTGTATTTTTTGTCTTTAACTTGTTGATCTAGCACCTGCTAAAGTATTTTGGATGTGCGTGTGTGAAGAAAGTTGCCCTGCGTTTTGTTTTGTTCAATACGATCATGACCATGTTAGGTTGTAACTGATACAAAAAAAATACATTAGCTTTAGATGCTGACACATCCAGAAGGATGAACACCACATTTGAATAAATTTGGTTGCTTTTAACATTCTCCTTCTCAAAAGCCAAACTGATTTTAACCCTAGTTTTGGCTCTTTCTTTGTCCCACTCTCTTTGATGCAAAAGAACGCGACCTCTTGGGTCTGGTAGATGCTCTTTTGGACTTTTAGATGTCAAGGAGCCCTGTGTGGCTGGCTGTTTGAAATGACTACTTGTGGTTTCAAAACACTAGGTGGTAGGCGGGTCTAATATACACAGTATTGATTTTTTGATTTGATTTGATTTATTCTTTCAAGCATGTAAAGACAGTTGATATGTCAACACACATAATTTTACACATA